CCTCTCCCCGGCTCTCGCTCGCCTCTCCCCGGCTCTCACTCGCCTCTCCCTGCCTCTCCCCGGCTCTCGCTCGCCTCTCGCCTCTCTCCCTGCCTCTCCCCGGCTCTCGCTCGCCTCTCCCTGCCTCTCCCCGGCTCTCGCTCGCCTCTCCCTGCCTCTCCCCGGCTCTCACTCACTCGCCTCTCCCTGCATCTCCCCGGCTCTCGCTCGCCTCTCCCTGCCTCTCCCCGGCTCTCGCTCGCCTCTCCCTGCCTCTCCCCGGCTCTCGCTCGCCTCTCCCCGGCTCTCGCTCGCCTCTCCCCGGCTCTCGCTCGCCTCTCCCTGCCTCTCCCCGGCTCTCGCTCGCCTCTCCCCGGCTCTCGCTCGCCTCTCCCGGCTCCCCGGCTCTCGCTCGCCTCTCCCTGCCTCTCCCCGGCTCTCGCTCGCCTCTCCCCGGCTCTCCCCGGCTCTCGCTCGCCTCTCCCTGCCTCTCCCCGGCTCTCGCTCGCCTCTCCCTGCCTCTCCCCGGCTCTCGCTCGCCTCTCCCTGCCTCTCCCGGCTCTCACTCGCCTCTCCCTGCATCTCCCCGGCTCTCGCTCGCCTCTCCCTGCCTCTCCCCGGCTCTCGCTCACATCTCCCTGCCTCCCCGGCTCTCGCTCGCCTCTCCCCGGCTCTCGCTCGCCTCTCCCCGCTCTCGCTCGCCTCTCCCTGCCTCTCCCCGGCTCTCACTCGCCTCTCCCTGCCTCTCCCCGGCTCTCGCTCGCCTCTCCCTGCCTCTCCCCGGCTCTCGCTCGCCTCTCCCTGCCTCTCCCCGGCTCTCGCTCGCCTCTCCCTGCCTCTCCCCGGCTCTCGCTCGCCTCTCCCTGCCTCTCCCGGCTCTCACTCCCTCTCCCTGCATCTCCCCGGCTCTCGCTCGCCTCTCCCTGCCTCTCCCCGGCTCTCGCTCGCCTCTCCCTGCCTCTCCCGGCTCTCGCTCGCCTCTCCCCGGCTCTCGCTCGCCTCTCCCCGGCTCTCGCTCGCCTCTCCCGGCTCTCACTCGCCTCTCCCTGCCTCTCCCCGGCTCTCGCTCGCCTCTCCCTGCCTCTCCCCGGCTCTCGCTCGCCTCTCCCTGCCTCTCCCCGGCTCTCGCTCGCCTCTCCCTGCCTCTCCCCGGCTCTCACTCGCCTCTCCCTGCATCTCCCCGGCTCTCGCTCGCCTCTCCCTGCCTCTCCCCGGCTCTCGCTCGCCTCTCCCTGCCTCTCCCCGGCTCTCGCTCGCCTCTCCCCGGCTCTCGCTCTCGCCTCTCCCGGCTCTCGCTCGCCTCTCCCTGCCTCTCCCCGGCTCTCGCTCGCCTCTCCCCGGCTCTCGCTCGCCTCTCCCCGGCTCTCGCTCGCCTCTCCCTGCCTCTCCCCGGCTCTCGCTCGCCTCTCCCGGCTCTCACTCGCCTCTCCCTGCCTCTCCCCGGCTCTCACTCGCCTCTCCCTGCCTCTCCCCGGCTCTCGCTCGCCTCTCCCCGGCTCTCACTCGCCTCTCCCTGCCTCTCCCCGGCTCTCGCTCGCCTCTCCCTGCCTCTCCCCGGCTCTCGCTCGCCTCTCCCTGCCTCTCCCCGGCTCTCGCTCGCCTCTCCCTGCCTCTCCCCGGCTCTCACTCGCCTCTCCCTGCATCTCCCCGGCTCTCGCTCGCCTCTCCCTGCCTCTCCCCGGCTCTCGCTCGCCTCTCCCCGGCTCTCGCTCGCCTCTCCCCGGCTCTCGCTCGCCTCTCCCCGGCTCTCGCTCGCCTCTCCCCGGCTCTCGCTCGCCTCTCCCTGCCTCTCCCCGGCTCTCGCTCGCCTCTCCCCGGCTCTCACTCGCCTCTCCCTGCCTCTCCCCGGCTCTCACTCGCCTCTCCCTGCATCTCCCCGGCTCTCGCTCGCCTCTCCCTGCCTCTCCCCGGCTCTCGCTCGCCTGTCCCTGCCTCTCCCCGGCTCTCGCCCGCCCGGAGCTGCCTTGCTCTGAGCCAGACTCATTGTCAGCCCGTTCTTACTGTATATTAAATAAACTACGTTTACTACACAGCATGTGTACAATGATTTTTGTTACTCAGAATGTTACTACTCATACAAATAATATTACTAATAACAATAATGACAATAAAACAGCAGCAGCAGATACATGACTTCTCTTCATGACAGAGACAGACCCTCTGCTGCTGCTGCTGCTCCTCGTCTCCTGATTGGTTGAAGCCCGCGTCAAAGCTTCAAAAGCTCAGCTTTGCTCAACTTCGGCGTCAAAGGGATTGTTGTGATACGCGAGCGTTTCGCGCGTCAAAAGCTTCAAGTGAGCGCGTAGTACGCGCGACTCTTGAAGCTTTTGACGCGCGTCAAGTGACGCCGGGGCTCTTGGCTTCACCTGACGCGCTTCACCATTCACTTTCAATGGAAACCTGACGCTTTTGACGCCGAAGTTAAGTCCGGTGTGAACGCCCCTTTAGTCTCGGTCGGACTCACTGTAACTTTTAAACTTGGCTCTGAGAAAGTTCCGCAGCTTTAACAAGTGATGTCACATTCTATACCATGTACTGCCTGTAACAGCACAGGCCCCGGGGGTCACACACAGAGGACCACAGATGAATCTTAGAGACTTTAAACCCCTGGGAGTGAGCGGAGGCAGAAGCTCCAGAAGGACTGAGCTCTCCTTCCTCTGCTCGCACCATCTGCTGCTGTCGCTTTTCATTTGTTTATTTCACACAAATCCACAAAGTGACACGAGGAAGAACGATAGTAAACGAGTAGTAAACGAGTGGTAAGAAGATGTGTCTGAAACAAACCCAAACCCTGTAATCTGCCTTTAAAAAATGAAAAATGTAAAATATACATATAGGGAAAAATGCTGTATTACTTATTTTAAAAAGTTGGTACTACTCTCACTTCTACTATTACTACTACTAATACTACTCAACTACTACTGCTTCAAACACTATGACGACTACTACTACTACTACTACTACTACTACTACCACTACTACCTCTAATACTACTAGTAGGACAATTACACCACTACTTACTGTAGTACTTTGAGTGACATAAACAATCCAAAGAACATAAACACAAGGTCACTGTGTCATCCAGCCAACTCCAGCTCCACTCACACCTGTGATACACCGTGTGCAGCTCAGACCGGCCCCGATCGTCTGTGGCGGCCCCTGACCCAGTCGCTGAACCACAGTGACAGGTCGGACACCCCTGGCCCACACTGATGACGAGGGGCAGTTATCCTGATTAGCTTCGCTGCTAATGAGAGAAGTTAACGACCCGCGACGAAGACGAGCCTCACTCATGTCTCTTCTTGATGTGAGGTCAAACTGAGCCCGGGGCCCGACCAGACCCGGGGCCGTAGATAATCAGCCTTTGAAGAGCTCACGAGTCTGAACAGTTTAGCAGCTCATTTACAAACACAACATGTTTTTGAGATTAAAGCACGAGACAAAACAATTACAGACGCTCTCATTATTGTGGAGGAAGAGGCTTCGCTAACGACCCATAAACACGAGTCTCTAATCGTCTGTGCAGAATGTGAAATCCTTTACAAGATTTATGGATAAACAACAGATTCATATGAGGCTTTGTGGACACTCAAAGAAGCTTCCTGTACATCCAGTCTGTGCATCACAGCCAACCATCATCCAGTCTGTGCATCACAGCCAACCATCATCCAGTCTGTGCATCACAGCCAACCATCATCCAGTCTGTGCATCACAGCCAACCATCATCCAGTCTGTGCATCACAGCCAACCATCATCCAGTCTGTGCATCACAGCCAACCATCATCCAGTCTGTGCCGTCGGCCCCTCCCACCACCACCAACCACCACTCACTCACTAAACCCATTCTAATGGAAGACACAACCACAGTTTGGCACTTTTGAGCCACAGCCACCGCACTGTAGGTGGCTGAGTGGACTCTCGCTTCTCAGCAAGAAGGTCCAGGGCCTCTCTGTGTGGAGTTTGCATGTTCTGCCCGTGTTTGCATAGGTTTCCTCCGGATGTACAATAGGTAGAGTGTAATGAGTGAGTGAATGGGTGGTGTCGTTTGGAGGCTTTGATGAACCAGTGTGTTCAGGTCTCGCTAATGTCATCATCGTGTGCGCTTTGGGTGACCTTGGTCTAAAAATGTGCTATATAAATAAACATTACTTACTTACTTACTTACTGTGGCACCTGGTGTTCCCACAGGTCTCCCATCACAGTACTAACCAGGCCCTGCCCTGCTTAGCTTCACAGGTCTGACAGGATCTAGCTTTCACCTACAGGTGGCGTCACATGAAAAGGACAATTCTTTGGCAAAAAAACCCCTAAAAAGAGAGACCAATGTACGATGGATGTCAAAATGTGCACAGAAATAATAATCTGGTAAAAGTTTATTTTTATATCGCCCTCAATCACTACGGTAGTTCTATCGCAGGACTTTACAAAGCTGTCGATTCGCCAACACAGATCAGAGAATCAAACCGTTACAGGGAATAGAATGATAGAAAACACTTTGGTGCTGGTCCATATCGAGCAGAACCAAAGTCCATCTCTGTCCTTAGACCCTCCTGCATCAGAGCAACAACCCCATGAACCCGGTGGGAGAAAAGTGCAGCCTCTAAACCTTCAAACATGTTTAAACCATTTGTCCCTCAGTCCACTTCTGCTCGAGCTCCGTGTCTGTGCCAGAAGTGAAGGATAAAGATTTATCCAACACTGAACGTTTGCGGCGTCAGTTTTGTGCCTCGTCAGGACCTCGTACTTTCCTGAGTCCGGAAAACTCCACAGCTTTGATCAGACACAGTAAATCATGTTTTAGGATTACACCGCTCGAAATCTAATCTCAATCGCTTTTCTAATTACACAACGACACAGCGATCGGCAAATCCCCCAAAGTCCCGCGGCATTATGGGACTTTCACGCTCAGTGTAAAGCCCCGATATTTGTATTAGTCCATATTTGTTTTGCTCCATCGTTTGGCAGATGAGAAAACGAGCCAGGAGGGAAAGTTCGAGTCCTTGGTCCAGAAAAACATATGAATGTACTTCCTGGACTCTCTGGACTCTGTGGACTCTGTGGACTCTGTGGACTTTTCGGACTCTTCGGACTCTTCGGACTCTGTGGACTCTGTGGACTCTCTGGACTCTGTGGACTCTGTGGACTCTCTGGACTCTCTGGACTCTCTGGACTCTGTGGACTCTGTGGACTCTCTGGACTCTCTGGACTCTGTGGACTCTGTGGACTCTGTGGACTCTCTGGACTCTGTGGACTCTGTGGACTCTGTGGACTCTGTGGACTCTGTGGACTCTGTGGACTCTCTGGACTCTCTGGACTCTCTGGACTCTGTGGACTCTCTGGACTCTCTGGACTCTGTGGACTCTCTGGACTCTCTGGACTCTGTGGACTCTCTGGACTCTGTGGACTCTGTGGACCCTGTGGACTCTCTGGACTCTCTGGACTCTCTGGACTCTGTGGACTCTGTGGACTCTGTGGACTCTGTGGACTCTCTGGACTCTGTGGACTCTGTGGACTCTCTGGACTCTCTGGACTCTGTGGACTCTGTGGACTCTCTGGACTCTCTGGACTCTGTGGACTCTGTGGACTCTCTGGACTCTGTGGACTCTGTGGACTCTGTGGACTCTCTGGACTCTCTGGACTCTCTGGACTCTGTGGACTCTCTGGACTCTCTGGACTCTGTGGACTCTGTGGACTCTCTGGACTCTGTGGACTCTGTGGACTCTGTGGACTCTCTGGACTCTCTGGACTTTCTGGACTCTGTGGACTCTGTGGACTCTCTGGACTCTCTGGACTCTGTGGACTCTGTGGACTCTGTGGACTCTGTGGACTCTCTGGACTCTGTGGCCTCTGTGGACTCTCTGGACTCTGTGGACTCTGTGGACTCTCTGGACTCTCTGGACTCTGTGGAATCTGTGGACTCTGTGGACTCTCTGGACTCTCTGGACTCTGTGGACTCTGTGGACTCTGTGGACTCTCTGGACTCTCTGGACTCTGTGGACTCTGTGGACTCTGTGGACTCTCTGGACTCTCTGGACTCTGTGGACTCTGTGGACTCTGTGGACTCTCTGGACTCTGTGGACTCTGTGGACTCTGTGGACTCTCTGGACTCTGTGGACTCTGTGGACTCTGTGGACTCTCTGGACTCTGTGGACTCTCTGGACTCTCTGGACTCTCTGGACTCTTCGGACTCTGTGGACTCTGTGGACTCTCTGGACTCTGTGGACTCTCTGGACTCTGTGGACTCTGTGGACTCTCTGGACTCTGTGGACTCTCTGGACTCTGTGGACTCTGTGGACTCTGTGGACTCTGTGGACTCTCTGGACTCTCTGGACTCTGTGCCGCACATGTATATAGTGCAAAAGTAAGTCATATTTATGTTTATAGCCCCTCCCACAGACCAGAGCCACAAAGCGCTTTACAATTGTTGTTTCAAACCTGTGCAGACACAGGGAGAACAAGCAAACTTCACACGGAAAAGCCTGAAGGTAGAACCCAGGACCTTCTTGCTGTGAGGCGATAGCAGGGCTGGACTGGCCATCGGGCGTACCCAAGCCCCGGCGATCCAAGATGGCGCCCTATTCAAATGAATGGTTGTGCTCGGTGGCGCTTTGTGACGGCATGGGGGCTGAAAGATTAGCGGAAGTTGCCTGAAACTCGCAAAGATCTATGGGAAAATCGCCTGTATTTGGGCATCCTCTGGTCCTCCCGGTTATGCGCAGTGGATGACCTCCCATAATGCTTTGTGCCTCGAACGACGAGAACGCGGACCTCAAGCGGGAGCGTGCAGCACCACAGACTCGTGAACGCGCATGAATCGAGCGAATTAGTTCTATCACTGTTTAAGTAAAGATTGATATTAAAATATATGTACAATTGATCAATTATTTTAAGATGGTGTAGAGCAGTATGACAGAGCCTTCTTGTTGTTGATTCTTAATCATTATCTACTAAGTATTTATGATAAGCTAAATGTACAATGATTATATACTTTTTCGTAACGCTTATACTGTGGCATTCACCTGTAGGCCGCCGTGTTTTAAGCAAAATGTCAGTGATGTGTTAACAAGTACTGCAAGATGATTAAGACCATTGTGGATAGATCAAAAAGCTATGATTTAGTCTTTTGTCCTCGTGAATTGTAATTATTATATTAACGTAATTAATAAGTATTATTCTCTATATAGGGGCGACAGTAGCTCAGTTGGTAGAGCATTGGCCTTAAGGCCAGAAGGTCGTGGGTTCAATTCCCACCTCTGCACCTTCTCCATCGACTCCCACTGATGACTGCTGTCGTTGTGTCCTTGGGCAAGACACTTAACCCCACTTTGCCCAAAGCCCCCATCGAAAGATCAAGGCTATGCTCACACTCAGAGAGCAGCCGTCCTCCTGTGGACTCACCACCTGCAGAGGGTCAGTGAGGGGCTGGTGCTATGAGACTTGAGACTTGGGATTAAAGGGTAGAAGATGGATGGATGGATGGATGGATATTCTCTATATACACACACACATTATGTATGTATATATATATATATGTGTGTGTGTGTTTTCCATGAAAAGTCACACTTGTTCACCTCCACACGTTGTGAAATGAATAGAAAATAGAGTCAAGACATTTACAACGTTAGAAATAATGATTTGTATTAGAAATAAGATTTGTTTTACATCCAACTTTGCTTTTGTCAAAGAATCCTCCATTTGCAGCAATTACAACATTGCACCAAAACCAGACATAAGCAGTGTACAGAGTGTATTTCTTTACAGTTAAGACTAGTTTAAAGTTATCTACAGCTTTTCCTTCAACATTGAGGACATTTCAATGTGACCCCAAACTTTTGAACGGTAGAGTATATATTCAGGACTCCCTTGAAATAGGGGTTCTTTATCTCAATGGGACTTTTCTGGTTAAATAAAACAAAACTAGTTAAGCCACGTATTTGTTTCAGCTGTCTATAATAGGATATTCAAGTATGTATAAAAACTAAAACCGTCATTTTTTTCACAGCAAATGAACTGTATTTAGAGCCATGCAAGAGTTATGTACAACACATTTTAAGAGAATGACAGACAATCTAACTTGAACATATAGAATAATATTATTGTCACCACATGAATGCTAGTGACTCCTACTTCTGTTATTTTGTTGTAAATAGAAACATTTATTCAATACATTTAAATATGTTTCGATTTTATGTAATTAAGATGAGATTTGTACATTTTTGATTTACAATGACCATGAGTAGAAAACTGAAGGGCGATCGAACTAAGCAACAAAATTTATTTATTTTAAATTACAATGTGAATCCTAATCTGCATTAGCACTTGCCACATGTATTACAGCAAAACATGAATGCATTTACTTAAAATGTGTGTGTCTGTGCTGCCTTTGACTGGCAGGGTTACAACATTCATGGTGAATACCTAAACTCTCTCGCCAGCTCTTGTGTAATCATCACGTTTGAGTTCGGTTTTGATATGGACGCTGTAAAGTCAATAGCTATGTTTATTGTACTCAAATTGGTATAAATGACTGTCATACGAATTCACACGACTCCAAACGCTGTAGGAAAGACCATACATAGACTCTTAATGAAGCTAACAATAACCACAACAATGCTGTCAATGTACATTTCGTGTTTATCTGGTCAGTTCGGTTCAGTTTCCTCCCTCGCTCCTCTGTCATCAACAAAGCCGAATGGAGCGCGTTCACGCGAGGAACGCACGCTCGTATGGTTCTCATGCACGCGAGCAGAGGGGCTTGGCAACGTCTTGACCAATCAGCGAGCTGCGGATGCTAGAGCGGCGGAAGAGCGGGAAAAAGAGAGCAGAGTTTGTTGCACTAAAGTGAAGATTAAAAGAAAACCTATTGATTTAAAAAGAAAAAAAGTTCAGGATGACAAGGGGCACTAAAATCCCCACAAAATCCGACCTTAATGAAAGCTGTAGGTTCTCTGTCAGCTGAGGTCGAGCTGTTTTAATTTGCATTGAGTTCTATGGGGAAAATTTCTGGGTGGCCCACGTGAATTTAGTCTGGTCTAGTCTGCAGTACCGCGAGAATCCCCTGAGCACATGGGTTATTCAGCTATAAGCTAGCAATACCCTATCCAGTTAATATAATACATCCATGGGCGTACCGGGCAATGCCCGAAGGGCCGATGCCCATATTTGGGCCGGTCTGTCTGCCTCATACAAAAAACATGTTTGTGAAAAGTGTAAATCCGTTGAGAACTTTGTGAGGGGAGCGCGCGTGTCCGCGGGGCACCTGCTGTATGTACTCGAACGGGATTCCACCACCTCAGCGGCCGCAGTGTTCCCGCATCCAGCGGCTCTGAGCTGGACGCAGGAACCGCTCACCGGGAGCCGCTCACAACACAACACAGTGAGCGCGTAGCCGCAACGTGACCATGTACCCAAGACCATAAACGCGCACAGGACCATGCATGTCTTTTCGTAATTTGTGCACCCAATAAATACACCGCTGCAGAAAACAGTTCGCGTCTCCCCTCTCCTCTAAATTAAAGCTCGGGTACCTAAATTTTCCATTGCATTAAAAGTTCATGTTTGAGCCCAAAAGTAAAATGTTGTGAACAGATTAAACAGATTTAGAGCCAGCTAATGGCTGACAATATGCATTTCAGAAATGTTTACCAATTCTCATCCCTGTAACAAACAATAGTATTGTCTGTGTCCACCTCCCTCACTCTGAGACATGTTTATTACTCTGTTTAATGTAGACTATTGCACTTTATTTTATTGTTGAAACTGCAGACATCCTGATCCTCTATTTGCTTCCACATACTGTATAAACCAGGGGTCGGCAACCTTTAGTGCCCCTAAAGTGGCTCCTGGAGCCTTTTCAAAAATGTCTGAAAATGGAGTGTGAGGGCTATATTTTATTTCTAGTTTCAATGTGGTTTCTGTAGGAGGAAAAACATTCTTACCGTTTTTCAATGCTGCAAAAACTTGTATAAGTAATATTCAATTTTAACTGTGTGTGCGCATGGATCCCAAAAGAAAAAGAGAGAGAGCAGATAATAAGACTGGACTAAGAATGAGAATGAACATTTGCTTTCAGTTAATGAGGAAGGACTGCTTCATGTTTGCGATGTAATGAAAAGTTTTGTTGCAACAGGAGGAACAATGAAGCTTTAAACACCGTTGACTGAAAGATTCATTCATCATAAAGTCAGAGCACCTATTTTCAGACTTCAAATACCTTCGCAAAGACGGTGAAAGAAAAGGCCATTAAGGACATTCAGCTCCAGCAAACTTCAGCCTGTGATGGATATGAACAGACAGTGATGCAGGTGAACTCTGAGCCAAAAGCAGATTTATTTACTGTATTTGTACAATTGCATGAAGGTTAAAGTTAAAGCAGAGTTGTCACGTGGTGTGTCATTCTCTCCAGGACACGCTGCAATGAAAACACACGTCTGATAATCATGAATGGTTTTTATGTGTTTGTTGCCTTTACTTTGTCATTTAGATATTAGGCTAATATAGCTAATGTAGCTAAGGTAGCTAATGTGGCTAAGGTAGCTAATGTAGCTAATGTAGCTTCAGCCCCTGTTACCTTCATGCAAGCCTTATACAACGCTGTTTTTTTTTTTTTTTTGCGTCTCCAGACAGATTTTTTTTGTCAAATATGGCTCCTTGAACATTTTGAGTTGCCTGGGCCGCTAAGAAGGAAAAAATGCCCGGGCCGTTTTTTTGTCCCAGTCCAGCCCTGGGCGATAGCATGAGATGGACTAACCACTGCGCCGTCGTGCACCATCTACATTTGAAAAGACAAATCACTGATGTCCTTGAAAAAGCCACACTTGAGTTTAAGCTGCGGGTTTTCGTGTTTAATGTAGCAGACTGTTTTAACTGGACTCAACTGCACAAGCAGCGTTTCCGTCGAATTGTTATTCACGCGGGTGGTAATGACGTTCGGCGGAAACAGTCCGAGGTGTTGAAGCTGCAAGTCGCCGCCGTGTGCAAGCTGGCTAGCACAATGGCCGACACTGTCATCTTCTCTGGGCCCCTACCTAGCACTAGCAGTGCAGAAGCATTCAGCAGACACTCGGCTTTCAACCGCTGGCTGTCTGGCTGGTGCCCTCGAAGTGGTGTTGTTCATGTTGACAATTGGAGTACCTTTTGGGGAAAGCCCGGTCTCATCCGCTCGGATGATATCCACCCAACGTTGGCGGGTACATCCCTTTTGGCTAAGAATTTGGCCCTGGCTCTAAACTGTTCTGCCCGGCTCAAATGACGATGCAGAACTGAGGCCCGGGTGCAGAGCTGCTCTGCCACAACCTCTGAGCCCCCATCTGTTCAGTTACTAGCCTCAGAAGCTAGTCAGATTGAAACTGTGTGTGCATGTGTG